TATTTTTAAACTTATATAATTTCGCAGCATTAAAAATAATATTATGTAAATTATTTATAGACTTTACATTAGAAAAGGCGAAGATAAAGAAATGTGTGTGGCGTGGTCGCATTCAGTTGCTTAGTGCTTATTAATATTAATTTAACCATGTTTTTATCCAAAAGATTGTGTACAGTGAAGATTTTGATTAATTTTATAAGTTTATTTATTTTGTGAAGTTTACTGCTCCATGTTGCTCATAATTTGAGTTATGTTGTAAAATAAAACAATAAAATAATTTATCCACTTTCGTTTAACCTTTATTTAATATTATTTGTCAGCTGAGAAGGGCTATTAGTGTTGAAACGGCATTTTGCATCGAATCACTAAACGCGTTGAATCACTTTTCAAATTGTTGCCACAAAATATTATCACATTGCACTATATTTAAAGAAATTAAATAATGAAGAATCTGCATGGATGAATCTAAATTTCTCGCATTGTGAAAAAACAACGGTACCAAGAGAAAGCAAATGCGGAAAATTCGTAATTTAAAAATTAAATTTTAATTTAAAATTTTTTATTTAATTTTAAAGAAATGAAATTTTGATTAACGTAATTCTCCACCCAAATATGGCACTTGAAAGCAGGAATTCTGAATTTGTTTTATTACCTATCTCCTATATTGTAAAATTTTAACGAAAAACTCAACGATTTAAAAGCGAGCAGTGACAGCACTGTACGGAATGAAACATCTTTAGCACGCGAGAATATTTTAGCCCAAAAAGTCGTTATCACAAATGCTCTCAAAACGTGTATAAGTGTATGAATAAAAAAACGCCCCTTTGAGCGTAATATAAAAAAGTTTCAGATTTTTTTTATTTATTATTAACCCTTAGCGCTCTGCACGTTTTTGTACCACTGCCTACCAGCAACTCCGGCACATTTTAGCAGCGGAATGCAGCATCCAGAATATCTGCATAAATCTCTGTCTTGTAAATATTTTACCAAAGAAAAGGGATGTGACTATTCTCCTTAACTGACCAATAATCCTGCATATTCGCCAGAGGTATCGTACCCATATTGATAATAACTCGAATAAAGCCCAAAACTCATCCTTTCACAGTACGCCCACGTTTTCCAAATAGAATTACTAGATATTCTTTATTCTTTAGACATTTCTCGTAATTGTTTGTTTCTTTATAATTTCATTTACCAGTTCGTTTGTGAAAATAATTTGAAATATTGTGTCGGCTGTACAATATTGTAAGGAATATGTGGTCCAATGACCTTTGCGATACACTAAATGTATTCTATCCGGAATATCTAATTCTTCCGTGACATCGCGCCATTCATCTAAGTCTTCTGGCGACTCTTCGCTTTCACTTTTAAGTCATCCTTGCTATAACTTCTAATGCATTCTAATAACTATCATTCGTCGTCTCTTTGGTAGTATAATTTCAGAACCGCTACTTGAAGTGTCAGAATTCTAATCAACATTATCTTCCACAATATCTTCTAACAATAAAAAATCAAACACATCTTCATTATCACTCAACTATATTGTCATCACAATAACTATTTTTCTCCATGTTGCTAACCATAAAAAGAGTCAAATAATATTTCAATCGTAACAGTAGCAAGACTGAGCACGTTTTAACTGCAAATAACAATTGCCAACGCCGACGATTCCGTAACATCTTAAGCTTAATCATGCTAAAAACATTGGGCTCCGTAGCGGAGCCTACGGAGTTACGGAACAAATGACGAACGGCTTCGTAGCGGAGCCAAAGGAGCGCTAAGGGTTATTTTCGTTAATTCGTGATTCGTCACTTAACAGATTTTTTCCAAATAATACTTCGGAGCTATAAAAGTCAATTCACGCTGAAATGAGACGCTGCATTTCAGAAATTCACTCAGATATTTACTTTGCGCAAAGCGTTTGATAATTTTTTAATGGATAATGCTAATTAGGTTTGCCTTTTACATATTCTCTGCAAAAATGAATTCCATCTATTGGATATTTCATGGAATATTATTATTTTTAGGTTATATAAAGATAAATTTGGACAAAAGAGAATTTTGTGATTTGTTGTTGAGTTTTATGCGGCGTAAGTGCAAAGAATGGGATGTTTAATAAACAATGTTAAAAAGGTTGGAGACAAAAAGGCAAAAATAGTTGAGTATGTCATCTTACTAAGAAAACATAATCTTGATACGATAAACTGAGAAAAGAAAAAAAAAAGAATGTTTAGCAACACTGAACACTTTATCCATAATTCTAAAAATACACTGCTCTTTAAACATTTTTATAAAAAATTTTACTATTGAATTTCATGCGGCGTAAGTGTGAATGATAAAAGCGATGTTTAATAATAAAGTTAAAAAGACAAAAATTATGTTAGCAGGAATTAGTCCAAAAGTATTCTTTTAAACTGCTGTCGTGTTAACTATGATATATCGTCATGAAATGAATAGTTTGTTCCGAAAAAACCATCCTGGCTGTGCTACAGTTATCTATATATCTGGAATCTGGGCCATCTGTTGTTTCTAAAGTTAAAATTCTAGCCCATGGGAGCAACGTTGCAGAAACACTTATCGAAAAATCTTTAAGTGCCTATTATAACGAATATATATACTAATATGCAACATTTAAGCGAGAAATTCCTTTTTCAACACGCTACCATGAGATTGCCAAAAAAAGCCAACTCACTACACTAGATTGAGTCAACTAGATCCAGCAAAAGTAGCTCATACATGCTTACATTGGTCACTCACTCTGGAGGCGATGCCCGGAGACCGAAACCCCCAACGACAAACTTTCACTACAGTTCTATGTAGCGATCACTCTGCCGGAGACAGACTTAACTGTATCCCTAAATCCCTATCGAGTCAAAACGGACCACCGCAGGAATACTGGTTCTAGTATTGTGGAAAGGTAATTACTGTTCACTCCGAACATATGGACCTTAGGAGTTGCCACCTCGGAGGAGGGAATCAACACATGCGACATGCGACGGAGGACGTGTGCACCACTCCTCTACCAATACGGTTAATCGGTATAGCTCCACGTCCACCTTTATCTAGATAGCCACTCAGAGGCGTTGCGGACGCCTCGCAAACCCAGAACCCGATGCATCCCCGAGGGTAGTCCAGCAGACAAGCGCCCCCCCAGGAAGAAATCACTCACACACAACTGCCCAGTATTTATTGATTCAGTAATCCAGTAATGCGTATATGTAAGGCCTATATATTTACGGCCTGCTTACGAAATCCTTGCTAATTAATAATCTTTCTGTCACACATGCAGATACTAATAACAATATACGCGGATTCAGATATATGCAGATATGAATATACAAAATTATATCCAGCATTATGCATATATACGCTGATACAGATATAAGTAGATACAATGATCTGCAGATGATGGTACCGCTATGCTGAAGTATATGATACATAAGAACAAAAGGTGCATGAGATATGTAGGATGACATAAATATGAACCTACATAAGGTGGCATACGTAAAATGACATACACGTACTTAGGAACATAACGTGTAGAGTAAGTTACACATTACGAGATGATACGAGATATACGATACAAGGTGCAGAAAATACTAATTTTATGCAGATGCCAGGATACACGATACAAGGTGCAGAATAAGTTACATGATACAGGATATTACGAGATAATATATGCAGATGCCTGGATACATGATGCTAGGGTACAGAATAAGCTATATGCTACAGGATTATGCTAAATATATGATACGAGGGACAAGTGACGGGGAACGTGGGCATTATCCCTTTACCATTGTGGTTAACTGGTACAGCGCCATGTCCACCATTATCTAGAGTTTGGACAGCAGAGGCCACATGGGAACCTCGCAAGAGACGCCCAGACCCAGAGCCTAATCCATCCCGGTGGCAGTCGAGCTGACCAAATGCCTCCGAGGATTTCTCTCAGCCGAGTATTTGTTGAGAATTTAAAACAAATACATGGCTAAACAAGGGCTGTAATATACAATGATTATTGAATACAGGAGATTATTTATGAAGGTTAAAATGCCAGAACATGTTACTTATGGCACTAATATAATCAGTTACAACTATTATTATTACTACTATACATTCTGCTATGTCACAAAGATACCCTAGCGATATATACATTTACATACAATTATGTTTGCTGCATCATATATAGTATGCATTAACGGAATTGTACAAAAATGCTTAACATTTAATATATTATTACTTCTAAAATTAGTATACTGAATGCCTGGTACGAACTGAAATTAAGCATATTAAACTTTTCAATGCGTTTAAAGAGATACCATCATTACTCTTAAACAACTTTTCATGAAAAAACCAAAAACATTTGCAGCCTACCGAACAGACAATTTTTAAAATAGGTAATACATAAAAACCACTTTGTGGATGCCATTACTTTAAAACACTTGCTGCGACATATATAGTTTGCATTAAGAGAACTGTACATAGGTACTTAATATTTAACACTTGCTAACATTAAAACACTTGCTGCAACATATATAGTATGCATTATCATAACTGTACATAAATACTTAACATTTATTAATTTATTACATACGAGAAAAATGAAACATATAAAACCATTCGATGCATTTCAAGAGATGCCATGGTAACTCTTATACTACAACTTGTTATGAAAAATGCACTTACAGCCTACCGAACTGACAGTTATTAAAATAAGATTGCTTGAAATGAGAGAAAATATATAATAACCACATTGTGGAGGCCATTACTTAAAACTCTTGCTGCAGCATATATGGTATGCATTAAGAGAACTACATAAATACTTGAATACAGAAGATACCAGGGAAAAATCTTCTGGAATTATGACCCAAATCGGAAAAGTTGCTTAGTTTTGCACACTAGTTAAGTCCATTATCTAGTAGGTTTGTTTGCGTATCTTGAAATTCGTCCTCCAAAAACTGTTATATATAATATTAAAAAGAATAAATTTTGAAAATTCTTACCAATTTTTCTTTTGCAATCTCTGAAGTAGGTGGACTTGTCGCACTTCGGGACATTTGGCATGATGATTCCACAATCATTACTAAAAGATTGAGTATCTTCTTCCTGCAATGAAAGTTTGCAAATAAATATATACAATTTCGTCTGAAACACAGCATTAGAAGCTCTTTAGTACAGCCCAAAGAGAAAGTAATAATAAATACGTGCCTTATTTTATGTATATATTTCTTTTCAGACGATTAATGCGAGAAATGTCGTCCCGAGAACATTATCTTTAAATGATTAATATTGATAAAACAATAGTTCCGGAAACAACGAATGCGAGAAGAAATAACGTTACTTAAACAGAATTGTATTCGTGATCCGAAATGGCGAATATTTTGCGCGGGGAAATGATTCCCGATAGATGAAATTTCTATCGTATTTATTTTACAGAACCTGCAGAAAATGTAAAATCAGGCACGTGGCGTTTCATTGGCTCTGCTGTTGATTTACACGTACAGATATGTGAAACTAGCTCAATCTACCATTCGGATTGAGATTGGAAAGGAACACTGTTCAAAGGTTTTAGCTTATCTACTGGTAAACAATATTTGCCCTAAAAATATCGTACATTTGCTGTGGCTAATTTCACTTGTCGGACCTAATTGGAACAAATCCACGAATTTTATTTTGGCAAGAAGCGCATGATTGTGGCTGTCGGTGACATGGACTTTGAGCACAATATAGGTGACAATATGATTTTACCCAGGTCCGTCCCAATTTTGGTGCACAGTAGCCCGAGAAACGGGTCCGAGGGATTTCCACTATTCTCCCCCTGCCACCAAATCATACCCGAGCCCAACGAATGATACAGGAGCCAGGAGCACTAAATAATATATCGGGGGGGGGCAGAACTCCTTTATAAGAATGAATTAATCAAAGATTTGTAAGAATTAGTGAAATGAGGTAAGCTTTCAAGTAACCAAAATATCGGTAACGTTATATATTTTATAGGAAATATATGAAATTTTATTTTCTAAATAGGCTCTAAACCAAAAAAAAAGTAATAAGTACTCTTTTTTTTTTTTTTTTTTTTTTTTAAATACGTCGAAGGAAAATATTTTTTTAGGGTTTTATAGTCCTGAATAAGAGAATTTGGAGTCAAAGCAAAACAAAAAGTATTGATAGAGGGAAATATTTGTATCAGACCTCATGTGCAAGCAATCAAGTTAAATAAATTCATAGCGACATCTTGGATAATTAAGTCTTTTCATTTATTAAATAAAACGTTTCCTCGTGGCAATAAACGAGGATAAAATATTATCATAAAAAAGAATCATTTTTTAGTCCAAAGGGGCAATTTGCCCAGAAGAGCTGTTAATTTCGTTTCGGCATTTTGCGCTGATTCACTACAAGTGTGGTTTAACTTTTCAAATTGTTGCCACCAAATATTACAGCCCTGTATTATATTTGAAGAAATTAAATAATGAAGAATCCGCATAAATATATGTATGTATGTTTCTCGCATTGGGATAAAACAACGGTACCTAGAGCCATCTAATTTTGAATAAGGTAATCCTCCTGCAAATATGGGCATCTGGAAGCCTAAATTTGAAATTTGGAATTTTTTTTTATTATCGACTTCATATATTGTAAAACGTTAACGAATTTTTGATTAACAAACTCAAGGATTTCAAAGCGAGCAATGGCGCACAGAAAAACATTTTTATCTCCATCGCGCGAGACTGTGTATCTGAAATTCTAAAGATATGCTCATTTTAAAATTATTTTGCGATATTGCTCTTGAACTGAATTTTTTGGTTTAAGTGCGAAGAACGTGATATTTAATAAATAAAGGTAACACACAAAATGTTACAAGAATGCTCCTTTGCACGTAATTTAAAATCTGAAAATTATCAGATTTTTTGATTGTTTAAAGTTTTAAATTTTCTTTCTGAACTGCAGTTTTACTAAACATTTTTAAAGTTAATACCGATTCTAAAATACAGTATTTATCCTCAATTACCATCAGGATGATTGGCCATCTTGAATGACATATTATGCACATTTGTTACAGTTTTCTTCCTCTTATTAACGTTATTTCATTGTGTTTTAATGCTGTACGCTTTAAAATGTCGGGTTTTCTAGGAGAGCCACTTTCCGTCATTATAAACAAATCTCCCCCAATAAATTAATATCCTTGGTATTATCAAAATTTCAGAATAAAAATGCCTTATGTCCAAAAAATTTCTGCTATAGCCCCTTCAATCTATAAGAAATTTCTCCAGTCTACGAACATTTACTTGAACTGTTTGGTGTTAAAAGAAAAACAAATGCAAGAAATTGTTGTTTACATTAGGAAACATTTTATTTTGAAAATAGCGGAAAAAACAGGAAAGCTCGGTTTGTTTTTCTTGAAATTCAGCTTGAAAAAACACCAGGAAAAAAGGCATTTAAAGAGATCAATGCAAGGCCATCGCTTTCGATCAAATTTCCTAGAACTCTCTTGTATTTTTCTCCCCCTTCCCCGAAGCAAACAACCCTTTTTATTGTTGTCCGTAGATTTAGACCGTTTCCTTCTTCCGCTACAGTTCTTTATTCTCGACGAGTTCATCTTTTCTATTTTCTCTTGCGGATCGATAAGCGGATGTTTCTGCTAGCTTACGTCACAGACCATGAAACTAGAATTGTTTTTGCAAGGAATTTCATGAAATCTTGCATTTTTTCAACTTGTTCCCAAAATAATAATACTAATGTTACAAAGAAATTGGCTTTGGTTACACAACAATAAGGATAGCACAAACTCCATAAAACCACGGACCTAGATTTCATTTTAAAGCTGCATTCCGTAAACATTATTTTCCTTTTGTATTATTTTTGTGAAAGCATAGTATGTTCATATTTACTTAAAGCAAATAAAATACTTTTTAAGCCTTTCGTTTAAGGAAATTTTTTACCGGGATGTCCCTTTTCTTCAAGAGCCTTGGTTCCGCAAATCGATGAAAATACCGATTTTTTCAATTTTTCCTAAAAAATACTTTAACAGGCTTACTACACTGAAAAGAAGTTTTGAAACCATCTAACGATAATAAATTGTATAAAAAGGCTTCTAAAAATTTAGAACAGTTCTTTAAAATGCTAAATCTTCCTTCAGTGTTTTTTTTTTTTTTTTTAAGCTTCTTAATTGTTTCAGTAGCTTACTAAACATCAGTGTGAAAGAAGAGGAATGTAATTAATACGATAGATATTATCAGCAAACTCTATTTAAATATATAAATTGATTTATTTTAATACTAAGTGAAATTAGGGAAAAAATTCTGCTTTTTCAGTTTTGAACTGGCAGGTTTATCTCTCTATCGATAATATTCTTTGCTATCTTTTTCAATAACTGAAATCGAACAAGCGGGTTTATCTATATATATATATATATTCAGCTTAGCAAATATTTCTGTATGTATTATCAGTCAACTTTGCTATCAGTCTTCAAAAATTGAAATTATATTGTGATATTTGCGAACAGAAAGAGATGGCTTAATGAAAGTGATCAAGTTTCTTACTGTAGCCTTATTGAAATAGTACCGAAACAAACATTGAAATCTTTAATTAACTAATATGTGCCTAAATTAGTTTGAAACGCAATCTATACACGATGAGACCAAATGGCTAAAAGAAGAGAAGAAATTCACATATGCTGCTGAGTGGTTTTAAATAAAATGTTTTATGTCCGTTCAATTTCAAATTCTGCTTTTTAAAAAAATGAACAAAACGACAAATTAATATTATTAATGATCTTTATAAATGTTTTAATACTCATTGTAAATGTTTCAGAAAATATATTATAATTCATTCATACAATAAAATTGTTTTGAAAGTGTTTTACAAAATAAAAACAGGTAAAGAAAAATTTTTCTTTCATTTTATGGTTTTTCTCTCGCAGTATTTCTGGCAAGATAACGTTTTAAAATAAAAACTTGTAATTTATGTTTATATTAACCAACTGAATAATAATAGTTTTACTTTAGATATATATGTATTGAAATTCAGTAATACAATATTTAAAAATTTGAAATGATTTAATGAACATTTAGGCAGTTTATATTCTTTAAGTTGAATTTTCTCAATTTGTATTTTTTCGATTAAATGCTTTTACTTAAAGTCCTAAAACTTATATAGATACGAACTAAATTCTTTAATATCTCTACTGCTTCTTTAAAATTATATACTTAACTGAAATAAGGAAGGGTTTGCCGAATAATGAAAGAAAAATTACTGGAAGTAAAAATATAATTGAGATCATACTTTTTCAATGTTTTACATAAAAATACGCTTTTATATTTTTTTCTCAGAGAATAATTCATTAATTCCGAAATCGATCCTTATAGTTATTAAGATAGGTTAAGTTATTTAATTACGACAAAGCCTCGAGGGCTATCTGCCTAAGGGAAGGAACGCCTTTGTGGAGAACTTTCTAAGGAAAACTGGCTCGTATACACGTTACAGATGGGGAAAACCAGGAAAGCATCCATATAGCCAGCCCGTTCGCGGGATTCGAACCTCGGACCGAACTACCAGTGTTCAGCGACTTTACCGCTCGTGGGCCTTAAGTTATTAAGAACATTCTAATGGATACAATAAAAAGTTTTGGGAAGAACACTAAAAATTGTAGGAGAAGAAAATATTTTAATTGTTACGTTTTTCTTCAAAAAATTTAAACAAAAATATTACAGGCAAAAAATATTTTTCAGCTTAAAATTATTTTGTTTTACAAAACCATTAAATAATGTTACGGTTTTTGTATTTAGTTTGCTATTTTTAGTAGAATTGTAATTACAATTGTTTCATTTCCCTGTACAATGCAGCGCGTGACGCGTTTTTTAAGAGAAAGCTAGGCGGAAAAAGTAAAAATACAGGAGCACGCGCATTTAATAAATAGATATCTCGTAATTGATTTTGCATTCCAGGAACCTCGAGAAAATAGAAATTACCAGAAGCTTCTCGTCAGTGATTAAAAAGCTTATAAAAGCTGGACAGAAATATATCAGTTCAGTTTTTTTAGTGAGCTGTTGTTGTTTACTTAGGTGATGTAATTTTGAGATCAGATTAGCTTTTTCTGAGCTTTGAAT